AAACGAGACCAATGCAGAAATGAAAAAAAGAAGAAGAAAGAGGAGGAAAAAGAAGCAAAATCAAAGGAAGAAAGCGAGTACCTATTCCTCTGCTGAACGGAGGGAAGGACGTCCCTGGGAAACACGGAGTCGATCTCCTTCTGCACCTTCGCCTGCATCTCGGGGTGCTTCGCCAGCAGGAACAGCGCCCAGCGGATGGTCGCCGAGGTCGTCTCGCTGCCCGCCGTGAACAGGTCCACCATGCAGATCTTCAGGTCGAAAACTAGTGCGGTCACAGAGAGGGAAGGACCGTGTTAAGACCCTAGAGTGCTAGTGATTTTTCCGCTATTTTTTTTTTGCCTTTTTAGACGGATTTGAGTCTTCCCCGCGGTGGGCGGCGGGGGGGGGGAGATCCCTGCCAGACGAAGGCCCGAGAGACCGGTTTCGTCTGTTAATTTTCGGTTGATCTTGTGCTAAAGAGGACCTACACTACCATATTTTTTTCTTTTTATAGATGAATAAAATTAAAAGTTCACTTAAACATAGTATCCTTTACATAATCATATTTCTTAAATTGGTAGTGTGATAAGAGTCGGACCATATGCATACGAGGAAACTCATATTGCAAAAAAAAAAAAAAAAAAAAAAAGTGTGCTAGTGTGATAGTCTTTCAATATACATTGTCAAGAGTAGGATGTTAACTCGCATAATTAGAGATGTTTCAGATCTCCCTGGACGTCTAGAAGTTAAGGATGCCACGTTTTATGCACACTAGATAAGGATACTTTCCTATGAAAATGAAAGAAACAAATCTCTTCCACACGAGAGGAAGGAACGGAGGCATCTTACGGTTCATGGTCGACTCGGGGTTGTTCTTCTGCTCCTCCATCTCCAGCAAGTAAGCATCGATGTAATCCTTGGGATTCTGGGGGTCCAACTTGGCCTGGTGCTCCTTGATGGAATTCTGTTAATAGGAAACGAAATGATTTCACTGTCTTTTTTTCACCCCCCCCTCTCTCTCTCTCCCTCTCCCTCTCCTCTCTCTCTGTCTCATATTCTCTCTCTCTCTCTCTCTCTCTCTCTCTCTCTCTCTCTCTCTCTCTCTCTCTCTCTCTCTCTCTCTCTCTCTCTCTCTCTCTCTCTCTGCTCTCTCTCTCTCTTGCACTCGAAAGCAATAATGCTTATTATCCCAAACCTAGTCTATAAACCCGTTCCAAATATATTTCATTTGATAATCAAGTACCTGCAGCAAAACTGGAATCAACAAATCAAATTAAACCAACCCAGTCAGTCATATGATAATAAATACACAAGAAAATCAACCAAAGAAAAGAAGTCACAAAACTCACGTCCATGTACTCGAAAATCTCCTGCAGCTTCTCCTGCAGCTGCTCAATGCCCATCCACCTCTTGACGAAGGTCGGGGTGATGGGGATGAGCCAGGGCATGAGGTCGAACCACACCACAGGGCCCTGGAAGTCGTCGAAGAGGGACCTGATGACCTTGCTGAATCTCTGCATCTCGGGTCGTCCACGTCGAAGCGCTGGTCTGGGGGGGGGGGGGGAGTGGAGGAAGGGGGTGGTGAGTGGGGGGTTGGGGGTGGTGAGGGGTGGGGGCGGAGGGAGGGAGGGTGAGAGAAAAGAGAGAGAAGGGGGGAGGGGCGAAGGGAGACGGGTGAGTGAAAGAGAGAGGGAGGAGAGAGAGGGAGAGGGAGGGTAAGAGAGAGAGAGAGGGGAGCGAAGGGGGAAGGGTGAGAGAAGAGAGAGGGAGGGAGAGGAGGATGAGAGAGGGGGAACGAAGGGGAAGGGAGGAGGGGGGGGAGAAAGAAGAAGGGAGAGAGAGGGAGAGGGAAGGAGGGCGGGAGAAAGGGAACTAGAAACACTCAGAGAATGCTTATCTCCGCCAAGGCAATAGGGTCACTGATGCAATAAAATATTCACGATTGAAGAATTACGTTAAAATCATGTCTTTCTCAAGTACACTGGTGACGTCCGTATTTCCATATCTCGCAATGCTAATGAACCATTAAAAAAATCCTGGATCCGGATCACCACCAACATTTAATGGCATTTAAGTTGGGACAAGGAACAGATAATAATATGAACATAACTTCTTGTTATCCTGCTGACTAACAAACCAGCCCACGCTACCGAAAAGATACCCACCATGGCAAAAATAGATAATAATGATAATAATGATAATAAAAACATATCTCAAACGTGTTCCCGGCTTCAAGTCCTCAGTCCAACACTTGAAAAGTCCTACCCACTTGCGGCCATTTGCCAGATGACGTTGAGGATCGCCACGCTGAGGGACCAAGGTAAGCGTCCGACTTTATTGGTGTGTTTCTTGAAGTCCTTGACCATGCAGGCCGCTTCGTACTGCACTGCCTCTTCCAAGTAGGACTTCCCCATCCCCAGCTGCTTCAGGTGGCGAAGGGCGAAGGTCCGGTTGTTTACCCACAGCTGCCCGTTGATGTTGCTCAGACCTTTTTTTGTGTATGAAATGCGAGGAAGCGTTA